GAGCAGGGGGTTGGACTAGATGACCTCTTGAGGTCCCTTCCAACCCTGATATTCTATGATTCTATGATTTGTTCTTGACAAATTCATACTGGCTATTCCTTATTACTCTATCAGCCTCTAGGTGCTCACAAATTGATTGTTAAATTAATATTTGTTCAAGTAACCTTGCAGGTATCAAAGTTAGGCTGATTGGATCATCTTTATTCCCCCCTTTAAAGATAGGTACTGTGTTTGCTCTTCTCCAGTTCTCTGGGATCTCACCCACCCTTCGTGAATTCACAAAGATAATCGCTAATGGTTCTGGTTGCATCAGCTAGTTCCAGAAGTACCTTACAGTGGATTGTGTCAGGCCCTGCCGACTGGAAAACATCTAACTTACCTAAATATTCTTTAACCTGTTCTTTCCTTATCCTGGCTTGTGTTCCTTCCACCTTGTTAATATTAATTGTTAAGCTTCTGGTCACAATTAAGTCTTTTTAGTGAAGACTGAAGCAAAATAGGTATGAAACACCTAAGGCCTCTTGATGTCCTCCATTATTAGCTATCCTTGCCCACTTAGTAGCAGACCTACATTCTCCTTTGTCTTTCTCTTGTTCCTGTGTATTTACAGAACCTTTTCTTAGGACTGGTCTACATGAGGAAATTAGGTTGGTATAACTACGTGGCTCAGGGATGTGAAAAATCCACACCCCTTAGTGATGCAGTTAAACCGATCTAATCCCCAGTGTAGACAGAGGTAGGCTTCTGGGAGAATTCCTAGCTATACTGCTGCAGTACTTTAAGTATAGACAAGCCCTTATTGTGTTTTATGTCCCTTTCTGGGTATAACTCATTTTGCACCTTGCTTTTCTGATTTTGTACCTGATTTTGTTACATTTGGTGTATGAACATTTTGCACCACTCTGGTTCTTGTTAATTGTCATGGTGTTTAAAGTTGGGCCCAATAATTATATTCAGAGATTAAGTTTGCATTTCAGGCAAAAGCTTATAGTGCCAGAGTATGGGGATAACTTGTGCCTGTAGCAAGGCAGTCTGGTTCCCAGCTGCCCTGGAGAGGGACGAGCCCCTCCGGACGCCAAAGTGGGCGGAGCCAGTGGAGCTTGCGCCCGCCCCCCAGAGGTCAGGGCGCAGGACAGGAAGTACAAAAGCCCAACCCCAGAGCTCACTAGAGCCCCAGCCGCCAGAGAAGCCAGACGCTTGTGACCTAGCTCCCGGTTGGGAGACTCCTGCAGTCTGCGATCAACCCAAGGACTGGCCAGACCAGCCGAGGCCTGATGCTGACCAGACCCTGGAGAAGCTGTTAAACCTGCCTGTGGCAAGTTACCCCGAGGAGCTGCCAAGCCTACCGCTCGCCGAGTACCCTAAGGAGCCCATGGTGCTCAATTCCTTGGAGGACACCGTCCAGACGCAGGTACCTCTAGAGGGGGAGGTAGGAAGTAGCCCGGGGGCAGCCGACCCTAGTCTGGCTGCAGCACACCCAGAGCCGATGTCAGTGTGTTGCGGTCAGGATCCCCACTGACACAGCAGCGGGCCATCTGCTGCTGTTAGGGCCCCGGGCTGGGACGCAGTGGAGTGGATGGTCCTGCATCCTCCCTGGCACCCAACATGCGGGTGGCCGTCTCCCCCTCTCCCAGGCCCTTCAGAGCCAGGGCCTAGGCCTCCTGAACTCCTTTGTTTGCTCAGCCCCTGCATAAGGGACTCTCGACTGCCCCACCCTGAACTAGGGCCTGAGTCTGCGGAATCGAGCTGTTTGTTGGTCTCTACTGTTGCCGCGGCGTGAAACCCTGCGGCCAGGCTAGTTCCCCTGAAATAACCTGATGGATG